CAGAGGGCAGCTAGTGGGGTTGGCATTGCCAAGGCCAGCGTTTTCTGCCCCTTCATGGGAACAAATCAATGGTCCTCAAAGACAGTAGAATGTACCCAAGATCGTTTGGCTCAAAAAAGATTTCAAAGTGATGAAACCACCAACTCTGAATAGAAAAATATTAGTAATATAGGCCTAATGTGATTGACAGTGCATCCCTGGGAACTTGCTAGGGCGAATTGGGGTGTAAAATAAACCTAGTTACTAAAAAAATAATATAGAGTTTAGTTAAATAATATCAAATATAAAGAAAATTTCTGTTTTTTAAAAGATTCCTTTATTTTTCAAATAAATAGCGTTACAGAGAGGGGAAGAGAGGGAGAAAAGGAGAGAAGGAGAGACAGAGAGAGAGAGAAACATGCACGCTTCCATCTGCTGGTTCATTCTCCAAATGGCCTGCAATGGCTGGCACTAGGACAGGCCAAAGCCAGGAGCCAGGAGCTTCATCCAAGTCTCTCACATGGGTGCAGGAACCCAAGCACTTGGGCTATCTGCTGCTTTCCCAGGCACATTAGCAGAGAGCTGGATCAGAAGTAGAGAAGCTGGGAGGCTGGCACTGTGGTGTAGCGGGTAAAGCTGCCGCCTGCAGTGCCAGCATCCCACATGGATGCCAGTTCAAGTCCCGGCTGCTCCACTTCCAGTCCAGCTCCCTGCTAATGTGTCTGGGAGCGCAGCAGATGATGTATCAAGTGTTCAAGCCCTTTATCCACCTGGGAGACCCAGAAGCAGCTCCTAGCTCCTTGCTCCTTGATTCAGATTGTCCCAGCTCCAGCCATTGCGGCCATTTGGGGAGTGAACCAGCAGATAGAAGACCTCTCTCTCTCTCTGCTTCTCTGTAAATCTGCCTTTCAAATAAATATATCAATCTTAAAAAAAAAGAGAGAAGCTGGTACTCTGACTGGTGCCCATCTATGATGCCAGAGTTGGTTTAATCTGCAGTGCTGCAAAGCCAACCCCAGAAATGTTCTGTTTTAATACACTACAGCTTTTTTAAAAATTTTTTTGTTTCATGAATTACTACTGAGTACATAGTTAAAGGGACAATTATTGTCCTAATGGGATCCTGAATAAACTTCCAAATGAAGCCAGCATAAAGGAGTACAGTTGGCCTTTTCTATCTGTGGATTCAACCGAGCATTCTTTTAAAAACAATCGTCTCTGTACTGAACATGTACAGACTTTTTTCCTTTTAATTATTCCCCAAGTAACTATTACAAAAAGATTTGTTTGTTTATTTGAAAAGCAAACTTGTGGAGAGAGAGAGCGCGAGCACGCGCTTCCATCCTCTGATTCAATCCTCAAATGACTGAAATCACTGGGGCTGGGCCAGGCCAAAGCCGGGAGCCAGGAGCTTCATGCAGGTCTCCCTCACGGGTGCAGAGCCCACGCACTGGGGCCATCTGCTGCTGCTTTCCCAGATGTATTGTCAGGGAGCTGGACTGGAAGGGCAGCAGCTGAGGCTTGACCAGTGCCCGTTTGGGTTGCCAGCATTGTGGGTAGCTTAACCTGCTACACCACAATGTCAGCCCTGCCTTTTCTAAATATGACTGTTTTATTCTGAAATTTTAGCAAATATCATTTCAGTTAAGTTTTGTGCTGAAGTACACAAAAGGAGGAAACAATTAGGAACTCTTGGATTTATGTTTAATTTGCTGAAAACAATGTTATTTTTCAAAGAACTTTGCATGATTTTTCTCAAATTGGATTTCTTAAATCCAATTTCTGAGAAAGGTCCTTAAATGGTCACTGGTGTGAGTTGCCAAATTTACAGAAACTCCATGGGTAGACTTACCAGATATAAGGTCCCTGCTACCCAAAATATTTTTCCAAGCCTTTGGGACTTTCTGTCTTATTTCAGTGTTAAGATTTTACAGGGACTTGATAATTATGTGCCAAATGTGTGCATGAAAAGTAGCAAAGCTATTAATCATTAATAAGAAAACATAAAATTTCAGCTTAGTTATATTTTTTTAAATGTCTGTGGATGTTTAGAGTTGATTTCATATTGTGTATTCTATGGGAATAGCTTCTACTGGAAGCATTGTTTGAAGTTCAAATGATAATGTGAATATTTTAAGGTGTTTCACATAGATTGTGGTGGTTTTGAGGTGCTCTTCTGTCCTTTAAATTGAATTTTTAAAATAGTTGATGAATTAAAAGATTTATTGTACTCATACCTTGGTTTCTATGGCCAAGAATTAAGACATTTTGATTGATAGTTTCATTTCCAAACTAATGCCAAAGTGTCTTTGAAATAATAACTATTTTTAAAAATTATCTGTAAAGCTAAGAAGAATTAATGTGTAGAGCTTTTCAGTGTTCTGCTCTCCAATCTTGTGGTTAGTTCTGGTGCATTTGTCTGTATCTTTAATACAAAGAAGTGTACTGAAAATTGGGATCACGCAGATTCCTAGTTAATGTGGTGTTCATTGAGTCTGTTGTGCTAGGTGTTGCTGTTAGAAATGTACAGATTCCAGTAGTGGCCTGTGATTAGTTTGCAGGGTGCATAGAAACTGTTTGACAATGAAAAATATTACCTGAAATTTAAGGTGGGGTTGTAGTGAACTTTTTAGTTATGACTTTTCCTAGCTGATGATTAGGCCTGGGAGGGAAAAGTGCAACGTCACAGAGGACATTCCCCTTCCATGCATGTACCTGGCACTAGTCACCTATGAGCGGGGCTTATGTCGTGCCGTGCTGCTTGCTTCCAAGGCTGCGTGCCTCCGATCTGAGTCATAACTGCATGGAGTAACTATGTCACCCATCTTTGTCTGTTGCATGGCATTATTTCCTTCCAAAGGCCAGGCATGGCCGGATATTTGGGTATTTTAAAATCCTTTGCAAGGTTAAAATATTCACATGAAGATACGCATACCATTAGGTGGGAAGAAGACTTACTTTCCCAAAGTTTCTTATCCCTCATTTTCTTTAGCACCATCCAAAGCCCAGGACTGGCTCCAAATTCATAAACCTGTGTTGAGCAAGCAAGAAGCCATCCCCAAATAGTTTAGTTTTTCTGTTTTGCATGAATCACAGTTTCATAAAATCACCGAAGTGCTTATTAATTTTAACCATGTATATAGTAAGGTGCCTGATGTCACACAAACCCTCAGCTCTGGGGCACGCTGCAGGAGACGGTTCTGGAGTTGTAAGTTCTAACTGAGGGGCTTTGCTGGCAGTGCTGTGTGTATTTATGACTGTGGCCTTTACAATGGATGGAGAGAACAGATTATCAGAATATGGGACAGATTTTTCTGTTATGTGTTACTAATGAATCCTGCTTTACTACCTCTCACACACAAAAAATGCATCTAGGGCATCTTTACAAAAAAATGTGGTGATGGTTGCCTGTGAAAACTTTCTTACCCAGCAATAGAGAATAGGTGCTAGAAACTTCTGGAAGTAATCTATTATAGTGTTCACATGGCTTTGATTTAAAATACAGTTTTGTATAGTTTTAAAGTACAAATTTTAGAATACAGGACATTGGCTAAAATTTTATGCTTTTATACCATAAAACTAAGGATAGTTTATGTTAAGTGGGAAAAAGATGACCATCCATATGATATTATAAGAAAAAAATAAACTATACAGAACTGTTTGGCTGCTTAGTACTAATACAACTAGTTAGAAAATAATGATGTTTGCTATTCTTTATTGAGTTGTTTTACCTTTGTTCAAAATAATTACAAATTTTTTCTGATAAATTAGATTATTCAAAATTGGCAATTAAAGAGTATTACAGAAACGGTATCCTTTTATATTTTTTCCTACTTACATATAACCATAATCATAAACAGTTTTCCTTAATATGTGATCCAGAATATAATTTGCTATTTATGCTTTGATTTATTTTCAGCTGTTTGCTTAGATTGTGCCTGATGTATTTCATTATTCTATTTTAAGAAATGTGTCAACATCAAGATATGGTGAGTTCTTTTAAAATTCACAACAACAATAAAAACAAAACACTGATTTATTGTAAACCTAACCAACGTGAAAAAAAAAGTAATGATTGCCTTAAAGAACACAAAGCAAGCATTCTGGATCAATTGTTAAGTTATTGCTTCAACTGAATCTTATTTGATTTAGACTGTTTTTTTCTTCTGATTTTACCCCTAAAGAAGGCCCCATTCATCTAATTTTAAATTTTACAAAGAAAGATACCAATTGTAAGTTAAAGTGGATGTTCTATGCTTTAAAGCAGGAAGGCATAGATCAAAAAGAGAAGGGACAAAAACCATCTCTTCTCTTACCTCTCTAAGCATCTCTAGGTTGGTCCATCACTGACCATTATTTATAGTGCTTCACGTTTCTTCCCTTTACTTTCTTCAAGCTGGGTTATTTATGTATCTTCAAATGAAATGGCCGAACTTTCATGGTAATTCTTGTTGCTATTGACAACCACAGCAGCTATGCCAGAAGAATATGCTGTGGAAGGGAAGAAAAAAAACTTAATATTTTTCTCCCCAAAGTTGTAGAGAAAAGGAAACATATAGTCTGTAAGAAACAGGTAAGTCAAGACATATCAATTTAAAAATAACAGCCTTAGTTACTAATGGATCAAAAATTTTAATTTTTACAGATGTTTTAACAGCAATTTTTTAACAGCATTTAAATAAAAGGATACTGTCTCTAGGAACCAAAAATTAATATTCTGAAAGTGAAAAATTGGATTGGAAGATACAGTGTCAAAAAGGTCTGAACTATTTGGACTATTGAAGAATAGCATAACTTCAATTATTGGTTCATGTTTTTGTTATAAAATGTTTTAAAATAACAAAATGGTGACTAAAATATGACTATTTTAAACATGTCCTAGATGTTTTTTGTTTCAGAAAAGCACTGAAAGTTGAATATGTGTAAGTCTCCGGGAATGTAACAAGTTGATAAATCCCCAAGTCCAGCCTCCTTACAGAGAAAAGATCTGGAATTTCTTTTTTTGGACATTTGTTTTGCAGCTTTCTACGTCTTAAGGCAGAGAATAGCCAGGATAAGGTGCCAGCTCAAAGGTTAGATGAACATATTTCTTGAAATAATTTTGGCTAATCTGTGTCTCGAAAGGCATAACTTCTGCATAATAACTTTACAAAGCTATAAACAAAACTTAACATTTGATGTGTTTTTGAGTTGCTTCTTTGTGGGAAAACTCTATTCCATAGAGGTGTGCTTATTCTGTTCACAGTTGTACTAAATTAATTTTGATTCAGTTATACATTAATCTTTGCCCTTTCAGTTCATAATTCCTTTTTCCTGTTCTATGAATCTAATAAATTGACCTCCATTCTAACCTAAAGGACAGTTTATATTTTTAATACTTAAAGAAGCAAATATAAAAAACAAAGTCCACCAAATGAAATTACTAACACCAGCCTATCATTAACCTGAGGGGATTATGTTTCATGTTCATTAATTCTCCATGGAACAATTCAGGTAAGAAATATTTTTATTGTACAAAATATATAAGGTGTTATAATGGCAAATATGGGTATTCATGCTTTTGTTTTAGTATATACAGGATTTCTTGTTTAAAATATTTTTTGGCAATGAATAATGTCGCTTAATAAATCACCTTATGACACCTTAGCAGGAATTTTTGTGAAGTATGCAAAATTCTAATGTTTAATGGAGTTGGTGCCATCAATACAACGTGTTTTAAACTGATTAATGAAAGATAGTATCACATGTCCTAGAAAATGTTTTTGAGGTGGGATTTTAATAAAAACATTGGGGAAAATTGATAGTGTTAGAAATAAAAGTTAAGGGATTTCTTTGCTCAGGGAGACTAAAAAAAAAGTCCAAGTGTATGTATCTTTTAGTTATTAACATTTACAGGGGAGCTATGGCTGAGACAATGCACAGAGGAGAGAAGAATATGTGCCTTGTCACCAATGGATCTGGGTTCAGGATCTGTGTTCTTAGGACTTGCAGCTGTGAGAAAAGAGAGTTAATTTTTCTGAGCACAATTTCCTTAAACCTACACCACGAATTGTTGCTGACCATAAGTAGAATGCCTCCTATAGAACAGTTCTTAGGAAGTGTGTGCTGTTGTTAGTGTGTGGTCAACATACAGAATGCAGGTGGAGAACTAGGAGTTACCTTTTGCAAGGGTCTTTCAGGGATACACAGTGTAAAGCACAATTTAGGTACATTGTGTTTTACCATGCGACTTTTGGGAATAAATAATGGATTGGAAGTAGGAGCTTTCTCAGTTACTCATTCCTAAAATAAAACCTTTCACTGGCTAGCTGTCTGTGCATCTGAAACATTTCTTTCTCATTTCTCTGATTATATCCATGCACAGCCCTCAAAGTGGAACAGTTGTGATATCTAACAGTGTTTGCACTTGGAAATGGAACCAGAAGGAAATAGAATGGAACTGTGGAACCTTAGCCTTTAGAGTTACTGTGATTTATCTGACAAATATTTGAGAGCTAAGTTAAGTGCTGAGAAGATATAAATATTAATAAAATAGGGACCCTTACTTTTGAGGAGCTCAACTCGGTACATGGTTATCTGTTATTCTCGGTATGATTCTAAAGTAGAAAAGAGGGCAAAAGAGTTGGTGGAGCTTTGGGGGGGGAGGGGCTCGGGGAGAGAATGACTTCCTGCTGGGGAGGATCAGGGAAAACTCCGTGGACTCGGTGTTCAGTAGATGCATTCATTCGACAGCTGGGAACTGAGCCCTCATTCCTTGCCTTATCCTAGGCCCACCATGGCAGATATCACCCCAATAAAATGAAGCTCCAGGTGTTCAGATTTCCATCATTAGCATGGAAGGCCCACGGTTAATGACACTGTGGAGTGTGTTTTAGCACAGGCCATGCTTTGGTATAGGATTCTGCAGGAACACATCTCAGGGACAGTGTTCCTGACCTGGAGTGCTGGAATTGTGAGGGCCCAGCTAAATCTCAAGAGGTGAGTCACTCAAGTGAAGGGCACCCTGGGTGGACAGAGAAATACATTGCAGCCTCAGAAGCCAGAGTTAAGGATACATTCCAGGAAATGTAAGACTTTCAATCCAGCAGTTCATTGTGTGTTTCAAGACTATTTGATGAGAGGTGTGCATGGCTGCTCACGGAAGGCCTTTGGTGTCGTGTTACATAGATTAGCCTTTATCCCCAAGTCTAGAGGAACATGATAAAGATTGCAAACAGAGAAATTACATAATATTTTGGAGCTTATAATCTGGTACTAATGGGTCCAATCTAGCACATAAGTGAATGTACTTTTGCTCTGAGTGTTTTCACATCTTTTTAAATAGTTGCCAGCATTTCAAAGGAAATATGGTATCGGGCTGTGTTGAACATCAGTAGCTCCGTGTTGCTGCATCGCATCGCTGGCTGTGAGCTTAGGTAATTACCCCACTTGAAAGAAGCTTGTGCTTCAGTTCGTCTAGGGTCTCACCATGTTCAGGGCAAATGGCTGAGACTTGTAGGTTGCATGCCCGGTTCTGAACTTCCACATGGGCAATTTGGAGAACAACTGTTTGAGGCTCAGGACTAGAGGCTATTGCAGTCAACCTGCTGAGGGGCGAGGCTTGATTTTAAGTAGTGATGGTAGGGGCAAAGAGAGGAGAGAGATTGAAAGACACTAAGAAGAAGAGACAGTGAGGCCTGCAGCAGCAGGGCATTGCAGAGGGAGCTACTTCAAACTGTGTTTTTGAGGAACTTTCCTAACCCTCCTGAGCTCCGACTTCTTTTTGCTAAATATCGATAATAGTCCTATTATCATTTTTAAAACGAGGATCACAGGAGAAATTACTGAGAAGGCACTTAGCTGGGCAGCTGGCTTGCATTCAGTTTATAACGCGGTGGCTGGGGTTGTGATGAGGAGGGTTGTGGAGAGTGGAGTAGATGTTATCCAGAAGGACCCCCCAGTTTCTGGCCTGTGTGTGACGAGCTAGACTACGTGGAGAAGGTGCAGATGATGGGGAGCAGGTGTAGAAAATGACGCCAGTACTGGAAGTATGCATGTGAAGTGCCTGTGGGGCATCGTGGTAGAAAGGTTTGCTCTGTGGTTGGATTGGAGGGCAAGAGCTGAGCGGGACACAGGCTGTGATCTGATGTGATGTCTTCCCGCCTCTGTCCCACTGAAACCTTTCTGCCTTCACTTCATCACCCTCAGGCAACCTCCACTGATGCCGCTACTCCCTTGATAGAGGAACAACCTCACACAGGAGAGGAGCGAGGTGGGGTAGGCAAAACACTGATTCACACCTACTAGTTTCTAGTTATTGAAAACAGATCTTTCCAGCTTACGATTTTTGCCCACAGTTGAAAGAAACTAATACTTCAATATTCAGTTATATCAAGAGCTGAAAAAAATATCTCCTACTGCAAATTTTCTTTCCCTTTTTTGGTTGGCTTTTTTGATTTTATGTCACTGTTGCTTGTAATTCTAAGCAAATATTTGGCTGTAAGTGAATAATCATTAGGAAAAAATGACCACATTTAATTTTTAAATTTGTATTCTCTCCTAACTCAACATATAGAAAATCAGCCATAACTCAAATGCCACTTTCTCTTCTATGCCTTCCTGACTTTTGTAGCAGGAAATATTTTCTTTTTCTCTACTTTTCACTATGACACTTGCACAGAGCCTATCTCATACTGCCCAAAGTTGTGGTTATTTGTGGATCTATATCATTTGTTCAGCCAGTCTGTTAGTTCCATGAAGGAGGTTTAGTCCAGATCAGTTCAGTACACTTGTAAAGATATAAGGGCTAGACATTTCGATTTAAAGAGATTTTAAAAATCCAAAAGATGAAAAAGATGTTATTTTAATAAAAAAAAAAAAAACCCTGTGGTTTTCAGGAAAGAGACTTTACTGGGAAAAGAATACATTTTAATTGTCTGCCTATCTTATGATCTTATTATATATCATAGATCTTAGCTCTTGCTTAAGATCCTAAAAAGAACTCAGTTTTCGTGCTTGAAAACACATAACTGTAATCTGGTTTCATTATCTGCTGCTCACAGTCTGTTGATTGTTCACAATTATGACTGGAACTCTGATTCCTAGTACGGGCTCTTCAGGCTGACAGCTGCCTTGTCTCTGAAGGACAGCTTTTGACCAGATGCACCGGTCCCAGTGGACTGCCCTTGCACAGCCTGACCTTCTGCCTGTTCCTGGCTTTCCCTGCACCTATCCCCATGCTGGATTCCTGCTGATCCTTGAAGATTCGGCTCACATTTCCTCTTGAAAAGCTTCTCTGCCTCGCTGCAGAGAAATTCCTGCTCTGTACTCTTATAACACCTTGCACACCTGTCATGGCTGTCTTTGTCAGGAGATTATTGGACGCTGTCTCAGAGCTGGTATTGTGTATTGAAAGACCTCTAAGTGTAGAGGGGAAGCTCAATTTAAAAAATAACTATGGAAATGTAACATGAGCTGTGTATGAATATACTTGTATATTTATAAATAAATCTGAACTATCCATAATTTATGTTGGACGTATGCACAGGGGCTGACAAGGCAGTGATGAGGGCTGTGAAGTTACTGTGAGGGGTAAAGCAAATCTTGGAGATGGCTAGATTGTATGTTGAAGCTGATCTAGATATCAGTCCAGCAGACAAGGGGAAGAATGGCATGCCATGTGAAAGTATGAGGGTATTAGAGAATGTTATTTTGGCGGGAGCTACTGTTAGCTTGTGTGTTTGTGGATGTGATTGGAGATGAGGCTGGTAGGATAGGTAGCAGTCAAATCATGGAATGTGGGGGCCAGTGTTGTGCAGCAGGTTAAGCTATGCTTGTAACGCTGGCATCCTATATGGAGTGCTGGTTCAAGTTCTTGCTGCTCTGCTTCCAACCCAGCTCCCTGCCAATGCGCTGGGGAAGACAGTGGAAGATGGCATAACACTGGCTGTTGCAGCCATTTGGAGAGTGAGCCAATTCTCTCTCCCTCTCTTCTCCCCTCCCTCTACACACCATCATCCAAATTCTGTTGCTCTTCCTTTCAAATAAATGAATAAATTAGTATTTTAAAAAAATCATGATGGGGCCAGTGCTG